TTTTCGAGTTTTTCTCTCTCTCTCTCTCTCTCTCTCTCTCTCTCTCTCTCTCTCTCTCTCTCTCTCTCTCTCTCATGTAATTATTTTTTTTCTCCATTGCATTTCAACAAAGGCGGACATTCAGTCAATACTGACGTAAGGTATGTCAATGCGTCACTGACGAACGCCCATTTTGCTGACGATAGACTGCAAACTTAAAGCAGACGCAAGTGGACCCCCCCCCCGCCCCCCCACATCAAGTGTACTAATAGTCACTAACCAGGTCATGTACTGATGGCCTTCTTAGTCCGTCACTGACAGACACCTATTTTGATGGCCGGCTGTGATTGACTAAGTGATTGACTAAGGAGGTAGAACCGGATGACATCCTTTCACTTTGCTACAAATCTACAATCTTTGTTTGAGTCTAATATTGTATGTAGGTGTATCCATGTGCATATAAAGCTTTATGGTTGTGGGTTTCTGTTAGAAATTATTTATATTCAAGACTGTCACGTGTGTTTGTTCGTGGGGCTGAATTGAATACGAGTAGGGTTGCTCCCATTGACTATATATGGAAACGCTTTGCGTTTCCTATACAGTGGGTGGTGGTATACAGCTGCAATCCGCCAATGAACCAAAAGAAGACGAAGAGGAGTATTTGTAGAAATTGGTTTGGAGTGCACTACCTGGAGTGGATTTTACCCTTGGCCACAATGCAGAGATAGATTGTGGTTAAGGTAAACCATTAAATTTTTTTAATGAAAACCTTTTGGCGTTTTTACTAGTTAAAACAGCTGCAGTCAGCCACCAGCGTCCTCCCGTTGACTAATAAGTGTACCGTATGTTAAATGTATTTGTTCGTAGAGCTCTTTGGGCAGGACCGTATGATGTCGATGCACTGATGGACTCCATTTCCCATTTTAATCAGGTTGAATTTTTAATCTGGTGGACTATGTTGTTTGTTTGTTTGTTTTTGTTGTTTTTTTTTGTGTTTTTTTTTTTTTTTGGCTTGACTGCCGAACTAACTGACGGATTAACCAATGGACTGACTGACGGTTTGGCATGAAAAGAATGACGGTCTGAACATGACAGACTGTTCCCCAGGCTACTGATGGATGACGAATGACGGACCGGCAAAATTTCGCAAAATGCCCACCGGTGGCTTTCAATAGGTATCAATTACACTGATCAACAGCAAATTTTAATTAGAGACGCTTTATGTTTCCATTAATGCATTTTTCAGATTTAAAAAAATGTCGACTTGTTTTTCTAGCACATCAGATTTTTTGATATATATTTCTTAGTGTGGTCGATAAAAGCTTGCGTAATGTCCACTTTATCACGTGTTATAATTTGTAGCGATTACAATTCATTTAAAAAAATCCACTTGTTGCTGTACCATTATTTCAGAAATATTTTTAAATGTAAGAATAAGATCATATGTAATGTAGTGTTATTATAAAAACCTGATGTGCTAAGGAAAAAAATAGGGCAGATTTAGAATCAGGGCAAAAAAAAAACCAAACAAAATCAAGGAAAGTTTCCTGGCATCGCTGATTAAAACATTTACGAAATAAAAATTTGCTGACCGGTGTTAAAAGCGGATTTTCACTATTCACGGATCAGGCCAGTCACTGTCCCCCGCTGTATAAAAAAAAAAAAAAAAAAAAAAAAATGGATGAATGATGATGTGATGTGATGTGTTTAAGTGGATCCCACTTCTCTTGCCAAAAGTCAGTTGGGGTCGGTTCCAGCTCACCTGTGATTTAGATGGACAAGCGCTATAGAAATTTGACAGATGGATTCCAAAGGCAAAAGAATGTAAGCTTTTGTAGCTAGCACTGCTAGCACGGGAATTTCACACCTGTCTTAATTAGCTTGAGCATACAATTAAAATAAGACAATACATAAAAGTCTAGGATGCTTGATAAAATACTTTGTAGGTCACGTGTTGGACTTGAATGAGTTCATGTTCTAGCCGTGTGTTTCTTTGGCATATTTATGAAACCTCTATCAAAGATATGAACAGTATGCAATGCTTTGGCTTTTCGGACTCTCTCAAGTTTGTATCCGGGGTAGATCTGTTATATCCAGGCTCAGTTCACATTTATCCAAGTCTCCGTTCTGGACCTGGGTGTGGGACTTCCAGACCTCCACCCCATCGAAGCGGTTTCCTCCAGTGCAACTCTCGTTCTCCCGCCTTTCTCGGCTTACCGGCTCTTCCTCAGCTCTTCCTTCCTGTTCTTCTTCATCCTCTTTAGGGGCCTCTGAGGCCCCGTCCAGACTGGCGTCGCTGAGGAAGGACTGCGGCGTCTGCGTGTCCTCCGCGGACAGAGCGGCGGGCTCTCGTGGCACGTCGTCGTGGTCTTGGTCAGGGTCCTGGTCCTTGCTGCAGTAGGCGTAACGGTGGTTCATATGCTGAGAGTACGAGCCCGAGTGCGAGAAGCGCTTGCCGCACTTGTCACATTGGTAGGGTTTCTCCCCCGAATGGAGGCGGCTGTGCTCGATCAGGTGGTGTTTGTGCTTGAAAGCCTTGTTACACACTTTGCATTCGTAAGGACGCTTGCCTGGAACATACAAAAGCACGCATTTGTTTCCATAGTTCCGGTTGGGGAAAAAACATCTTTTGTTTATTTACCCACCTGTGTGTTCATATTTGTGTCTGAGCAGAGAGCTGCTTTTCTGGAAGGTTTTTTCACAGATGTCACAAGCGTACAGACCCTCGTCCGTCTTCTTCAGCCTCTTGCGTCCCGGTCCGCCGTCCCCCTCCAAGCCTTCATCCATCATCGAGAGGTAGTCTAGGGCTCCACGGTTTAACACCTCACCCTGCCAGACCACAGGAAGATCTTTTCACGACTTAAATTAATTCTGGGAGAGTGCAACTCATTGATATTTCAGACACCTCCCCAATCAATCGCGGGAGGATCGGCTGCTTGAGAAGTATATCTTGGGTCATAAAAGGTTGGGCAGCTCTGCTCTAATCTATCCAAACACATTTTTGAAATCAAATACGAAAGTGACTATTGATTTCAAAGGGGTATAGGCAGTCAATGTCTTTATACTTCAAACGATTCCTTCGGTTGCGCCTCTGATTGTACATTGTAAATGAGATTTAAGGCGAGTTGGGCAGCGAGGGGGGTTGCCAGCAATGGAAAAGACTCGATCCCCTCTGAGCCTCCCCTTGGTTCTCGTACGATTTCATACAACAAAAGAGGGAACGCCTTTTGAGAAGGTTTCAAATGAAAGCCACCTACGAGCCTCGTTCACACTCACGTGCAACAACGAATGAGAATGCTGTAATACGCATACCAGCCGGGACGAGCTGGACTTACTATGAGGCAATCGCAGGCCGTTGCCTGGGGGGCCCCCCTAAATGTCTTCTGAAAACGAATCAATCAAGATCTTTCAGGAAAACAGACTCATGCGTTTTTAAAGCAATAATATGATTTCAATCTTAATTCACGTGGCTGAAAAACACGTAAAAAAAAAGCCAAATTTTAATTTGTAATTTGTTGTGTGGTAATCAAAGCTTACTTATGTTGTTTTACTGTAAATAGTTAAACGCTTATAAATATACACAATCAGAGATTGGAACTTTTTGTTGACCTTGTTTTGAGATGGGTCTTTGTTTTTGTACTTTGTAATTTATTTTTTGTAGCACTCCATGTTGTACGCCATGTTGAGTATGTTCAGAAGAATATAAAGCCATATAAATAATAAATATTTGATATACTGTACATTTTTTACATTCGTAAATCATTTTACACATAATTTTACATTATTTTTGGGAGTAAATTAATTTAAGCAACAAAAAAACTGAGGAGCCATTTGGGAGCCGAAAGAGCCGGCTCTTTTTAGTGAGCCGAGCCAAAAGAACCGGCTCTCTAAAAAGAGCCGGAATTCCCATCACTACTCGGTACCTCTGACAGTGGTCTGCAGACCTATCCCATTTTTTTAACGATCATTGGGCTAATTTGTCAAACCAAGTTAGCACTGGAAAATGTGTCATTATTATAAGATATAACCATTACCGTATCGACGACAATAACAATGACAACGGCAAACAAGCGAGGTGGAGTACCATTGTAAGACACAATCCTATTGGTCAACGTCAAGGCTCTATATCGCAGTGTTCTTACTGTCAGAATACACGTAAAATATCCCCCCCAAAAAATCAAACAATAGATTTATCGTTTTGACATCGTAGGGATTATCTCACCCCAAATCCTTAATTGTGGATTATGTGACACTATAGGGAATTTTGTGTCTGGCCCAATCTGGAAAATCGATTTTGATAGCAAATTAGTGTCAGATCCAGGCATCAGATGGACAGTACGGCTTTTCTGGAGCAGCGGAGGAAAAGCCATGGATCACACTTGAACAGAAGCCATGCTTACCATGAGCACTTGTCTCTCCTGGTGGAGCTTCTTCAACGTCGCCTCTGACTCGGTCTCCACCATGTAAGCCAAGGGCGAGAGAAATCCGGGGCTGATGGGTGACGGGCTAAAAGGAAGGGGTGCGATGCCGTCATGCCCTGCAAACCCCAAAGCAGACTGGCTGAAGAAGGGAAATCCGTTGTATAAGGAGCCAGGAAACACAGGAGCCCCATGTGCTCTGTAGATCGGGTGAGGATGTAAGGATTGGTCAGAAAATCGGTTGGGACTCTGTCGACTCAGCTGTTTGCTCCTGTCTTTTGTCCTCTCCCTTCTGCCGTTGACGTTTCTTTGGTCTGCCATCGGCTTGCGTACGGAGAGGTCCAGGGGCTCGTTCTGAGAGTGATTCTGAGGTGAGGGGAGTTCCGGGGGCTGGCCGCTGAGGTCCAGGCCAACGGGGGAGCCCAAGGATAGACGTCTCCTTCCAGTGTGAGGGGACATCAACTCAGAGGCGTGGCTGGGGCTGGCCTTCTCCTGGCTGGAAGAGTCTAAGTGGTCGTGAGTGGAATGCAGTGCGGCCAGATGCTGCTGAGGTACCAAGGGCCACTTCTGCACCGGGGATTCATTTCTAGAGGCTCCGTTGGTGATGTCGTTGGTTTTGCTCATCTCTGACCTGGATAGGAATAAGGGTGGCGAGTGGTGGTCTTTGTTTTGAAGACCCTCGGGCACTTCCATGGCTTCTCGGTTTATCTTACAGTGGTAGCGTTCGTGCTGCAGGAGAACCACCACGTTGGGGAACACCTGCGAGCACCAGCGACACGTAACACCGAGAACCCCTCTCTCCTGCTCTCCTGACTCCTCTCTTGCAGCCCCCTGCTCCGGTGACATCTTCCTGTCAGAACCACCTCCGTTCCTATCGATGTCTTCATACTTCCTCACCTCCCGGTGGAGCATCTCCTGCAGCATTTGCTCAAACTTGGAGCCGGACTGGAGGTAAGGCAGCAGGGTAGTCCCTTTCAGGATGCTGGCTCTCAAAGAAAGCTCCGCCGAGGGGTTGCAAAGGGAAGCCAGCTCTGAAGTTTGGAAGCTGAAATCCTGCCCTGAGGCCTGGGAAGGATCGTCAGGTCCATGGCCCATAGGCCTACTACCGTCTTGGACTTGCAACGCCAAAGGAGAGCCCTTACTATTCCTCTCCCACCCTATGGACGGAGACGCTGGGAAGGAGTGCTGGTAGGAGTTTTGGTTATGTCCGTTAAACACAGCACTCGTTCCTCCTGAACTTGCTAGCGTTCCGCCGCTGCCGAGACACTTTTTGCTGCTCAGGTGGGAGCTGTAGGAGCCCGAGTGAGAGAAACGTTTCTTGCAGTTGGCACACTCGTACGGTTTTTCTCCTGAAGGTGACACACAGAGACGAGGAATTAGTAACTAAAATAGTGCTGGTACCTTTAAGTCTGAACTTTCTTGCTCCACCAAGGACTACCGCAGTACTTTATTGAGACAGGTAAAACTGTCAATATAAACCTGAGAGTAAAATCGTGCGGGGGAAAAAAACGGACAATGGCAAATTTTCACCAGAGAGGGCTTTGTGTCAAAAAATGTAGTTTTGACATTGATTTAAAAAAGTCATTACTTTTTTTCGAGCACAATAAGTTTAGTTTGTCCTATGGAAGCTTGTGTAATACTTCCCTCACACAATATTATGACTTTATTCTTGAAAAATGTGTAATTTTCCAATTCTTTTTCTTTTTGAGTGTGGTGGTTTTAATACTTTTTTACATTTTCGAGTTATGAACCTTATTGTAGACCTCATTGCGGTGCTCAGCAAAAGTGAGCTTCACTAGCCATGTTACTGTTTTTATCTTCTACCGTTTTTGTTTTTGGTGCTTTCATGACAACTAAGAATGCTAAATATACTACTTTAAATATTACTTTTACTGTACGTCGTGTATTTGTAAGTTATATGATGCCACAGACATATATATTTCTTTGGGGAAAATGTATTCAAAAAATTGCCGGAACGAGTGCTCGAGCATCTGCGCCCTCTTATTAGTCTCACCACTGTGGATGCGAAGGTGCTCTTTGAGGTGGTGTTTGTACTTGAAGGCCTTTCCACACTGCAGGCATTTGAACTTCCTCGTCTCCATGCCCGGATCCAAAGGAATGGCGCTCTACAAGGTTGGCAGACAGGCGTTAAGAAAGGCTTTCATCTTCATTTCCAGTCTTAGTGTACTGTATATGTTTGTGAGACACTCACCTTGTCCTGTACTTGGTGGTGAAGTGCCAGGTGTTGCTCCAACTGCGCCCTATGAGGGGCAGTGTATCCACAGAATGGACACACCGTGTGGCCTCGGTCCCTCTCCTGACAGTACTTGATATGGTCCCTCAACGAGGCTCCGTGCTGGTATGTCTTGTGGCAGAAAGGACAGGCCGGCAGCCTCCTCCTTGTGTCTGGGGTACCGAAAAATGGACAAAAAGGTGACATTTGCTAATCAAACGTGAATATGTAGTGCTCGGTGCTTTTCGCGTGAGCCTACCTGCTCCCACAGGAGAGTGGTGCTGAACTCCCGGGGACCACATGGCAGGCGGCAGCTCCTCGTGTGTCCCGACGCCACCGCCCTGCAGACAGTGCATGGCGGCCATTCCGTTGCGGCTAAAGTGGTCCAAAATGCTGGCGGAAGTCGAGGCCTTCCTGAGCTTGGCCAGGAACTCATAGTGGGCGAGGTCCTCCAAGTCAATGTGCGAGTCGGAGCTACTACCTACATGGGTACGGCGAAAAACACACTTAATAAACGCACCTCAAAAACATTATTTTTCTTCTCAGAAATGCATTTTTCGTACTATTACATTATTCATGATGTAACATTTTTCTTAAGATGTTGCTTTGATTACTTTATTTTTGTGAAACTATAACTTCACTGTATTAGGACTTCATTCTTGTAAAGGTATCACCATTTTTTTATACAGTATATTATGGGTAGTAAGATTTCAGTCTTGTCGGAGGGCGGGGGGGGGGTAATCAGGGTCAGTTCTCAAAGGAAATAACAGAAAGCACTGTCATACAAATGGCAAAACTGAAAATCCCTTATATTTGCATAATGTGGTCAGAGGCCTATTATTCTCATATTAATCATTCATGACCGAAAAAGAAGTTTATTTAGGTAGCCCCTAAATCTGTTTGCTACTAATTACAATGCAGTATTTTGCATACAAATCCTTCTAAATCTTGGAACCAACGAGTGAAGTCAACATCAAAAGGGCCTCCTTATAAAGCCAAGCTGTGGATTATTATAAACCGGATTGCAAGATGTCCTCCGCTTGATCGGACTGTCTTAAATACTTCTAAGGTCAGAAAAGCAGAAAATCAAAAACACGATTGTTGTGTCTCCATTTTGTATTGGAAGTCTTGCATTCATCGATTTTCATATCACGGGTGAGCTGGAGTCTATCAGGGCCCATCTCGACAAACAACCGTTCGTACTCACAATCACACCTAGGGACAATTTAGAGTGTTTCATTAAGCTACCGTGCATCATTTTGGAATGTGGGAGGATACCAGGGTGCTCACACAGGGACAACTTACAAACTCCACACACGAGGGCCCGAGCTGGGATTTGAACACACAACCCCTTGATGGTGGGGCGGATGTGCTCACCGATAGGTCACCGCATCAGCTATCTTGCTTAGTTGACATGTTTTGTGTGAACACGCCGCGAGTATTGGCACTGCACAAATGTATCTAAACTTTTGACTCCAATGACTGGCTGATGTGGGGGGAAAAAAGTGTTGCACGGTGACATGCAACCCAAGAGCAGTAAGCCGCACACGGAGGTGCAACGGCGCCTCCTATCGCCGACCTTCTGCCAGTCAGTTACGCTCACAGCCCACTTTGAGGTGGATTTTTCAAATGTTTGCAGATGTTGGCAAATTTGGAGATGTTTTTTTATGTGGCCTGGGGACCGAGCTCGTGCGGTCAGGCGCTGTAAAAACTCCGCCGTGCCTTTTCGCGGCGGCAAGGCCAAAATCACACGAGTGGCCGGGCTAAGTGCCCGTTAAGTCGGCGAGCTGCGTGAGGCTTTCATCTTGCCGGAATTAAAAAGGGAAAGGCCTCGCCGTAGCAGCAGCGCCGGCCGCAACGTCATCTCTTTGATGCGTGGAAACAGTGTGACGCCGCCTTTTGTCATGCTCTGATGAGCCTTTGATGCAGCGCTGTACTGAATAATAATACAGAGGAGTACTGTACATTTCGTCGAGAGTATTTTGGTATTTTGGTCACTATGCAATGGAACCATGAGAACAAAGTTGAAATATTAGTGTAATTTTATTGGGGGGGGGGGTAACAAAGTTGTAATTAGAGCTTAACTGATTTGGATTTGTTTTTTGAGGCAGATGCAAAATTTGGCAGAATGAAATTCAGAAAATCGATTAATTGGCTGATTAATTTAAAAACAAAATTACAATTAATTCTTTTTTTTTTTGGTTCCTTAATGCTTACAACAATCAAACCATGAATTACATGCAGAATATTTTAATACAACACACACACACACACACACACGCACAATTGGCAGAAAATCGGCTGCTCTTTGCTACACTTTTAAAATGTCAGCCCATTAATTCGTGCAGCACATGAAATCAGTCAAGCCATGGTTGTAATATTACAAAATGAAGTTCTGACATTGAGATAAATTAGCTGTCATTCTACAAAGAATGAAGTCAAATTACAGTTTATCTTATCTTATCTTAAAACCACGTACCTGTGTTAATATTCTGTTGAGAATCAAGTTGCAATATTAAGCGCTAAAAGTGTTAATATCACAAATGTAATGTTTCAATATTATGAGGATAATAGTCTTATCCTATGGGAATAAAATAAAAATATAAAGACAACAAGTTTTCATTTTCAACTGTATCGTTGTATCAAAAGTAGCATTTTTATGAATATTATGTTTTAACCAAATATTTGTTGCCATTACTATTAATATACAGTACTGTATTATGTATGGCAGCTTCTTGTTCTCTAATGTTTAAGTTTGTATGCGGATTCAAAATTAGGAACATATTATCATAACGTTCCAACCTTTATTTCTTATGAAAAAGTATATCTTTAAACTCCTAATTTAATCTGAGAACGTTAAGAGAATAAAATCATTGATATTTTTCTCTCTCATTCACTTTTCTTGGAAAAAAAACGTTATCCTCCGAATATAATATTCTCAATAATGTGAGGTTTCTTGGGGGAAAACAAACATTCCTCAGAAAATTACCACTGTTATTTGATAACATAAGATGTTTGCTATTACTTGAACATTTTTCCTGTCATTTTTATTGATTATTCTTCTGTATTATTCAGTAGTGAAAGCTAAGTGTACATGTCTGCTGTTGTTGGATCAACTTGCAACTTCCTGGTTCAAACAGTTATGGCCTGGAAATGCCAAGAGTCAAATGTGCCTCCCAACAACATCAGTAGTGAATCCGTTCCTGAGTCTGCAATACAGCAAACAATGCAGTTACAAAGTTTCATAGTGGATTCAAAGTGGTGCTTTTGTGTGATTCGTAACATTATTGTTTGATTGAGAATTAAGAATTTCAAAAGCACATGTATTTTACCACCTCTGAGTTTGGTTTGTGAATGTCTGCGACACTATTTTACATAAAAACAGTCCAAGTCCACCCACTTGTCTGGATGGTGGCCCAGATAAAATCTTGTGATTTATTGTCAACTTACAACGCATCCTCAGTGATCCCAGCTCCCCCTCCCTATCGGCGGCAGAGGCGCCGCTGCCGCCGCCGCCGCCGCCACCGCCGCCGTCGTCTGTGGCCTCGGATTCCGGCTCCACCTGGGCCCAGAATTTCCTTCCGCTGTCGCCGCCGCTCCCTGGACTGAGGCTATGGGGCTGCGCGGAGAGGGCGGGGCTGCCGGGCTCTTCCGTGCCCTCGCTGGGAGTCCGGCTCGTCTTGTCCAGGTTCTCCTGGTAGTCCTGGGGTTCCAGGCTCCAGAGGCCCACCTCATCCTCTCCCTCGGACCCCAGTGAACCCACTTGGTCTGTGTCCACTTTGAGAAAGAATCAAAGACATGAGGAGAGTCATTACAGATGGTCATCACGTACACAAAGGTCATCAATAGTCACTGGTAAAAAGTGATATGACAATGGGATCATCTGAATTTGGATGATTGAAATACCTTAATATTTAAAATTTAATAATTCAGCCATTATTCACAAAAAAAAATAAATAAATGAAAGCTTTATTCATTTGTGGCGATCCTTTTTTTCTCTAAAGGTAACCCAAAAACCAAATACAGCAAAAAAAACATGTGGGTTGGCATTTAGCACCTTGAGCTATCGATCTCAACATCATGATGCGGCAAACAACATGAGGGAGAACTGAAACCAAACAGGGGAAACACACACGCACACTCACACACACGTCAAGTAGACATTTTTCAATACCTAAAAAAACCTAATACTTTGTTTTCAGTATGTTTGTGCTATTGGCTTGTGCTCTTTTCTTGTGTTTTAAAATGTGCGCCATGAAGCAAAAACACATGCATACAATTTTTTTTTGGGGGGGGGGGGGCGCGCGAAGGAAGAGCCCGAACTATAAAAATATGTGCCAAGTAACACATCTTTTCAAAGGCCATCCATGTAAAACAACACTCCAAAAACTCTATTTACAGTGAGTTCTGATCATTGCAGCATCATTTAGAGATTTTGTTGCTTTACACAACAAAGACTTGTCGCATTCACTTGAATGCATTTTTCACCACATAAAATTCACTTCATGAAAATTAAGTAATGTCGTGCGAATATTCCTCAAGTCACTTAATTTCACTGACATTCAAAATAATATTCACATTTTTCGCTATATTGAGCCCAGCTGTCTGCATTAAAACACAATCAGCGTGACCAAAAAATGCACCTAAATTGATGAACGGAGCAAATCATGCACAAGCAGTTGTATGAAATGTCATCCTCAGAAAGCAAGATCAATAAGCTCTGTCAAGAAAAAAAACGATCATTTAAACTTGAATCGCATCCTCGTATGCCCGGAGTGCTACAGACAGGAAGAAATGCAGTACATTTTCCCATGGTGAAGAGTATAAATGACAATCACAAACACATGCACTGGATTTCAACAGTTGGCTCTCGTTTCGGTGGCCTCCATGTCGCTGACTTGATTGGCAATATCCAATCACGAGCGAGTAATCGCAGCTTAACCCAACTGAAATACATCCCAAGACAACGCTAAGCTACTGTCAGAACGGGAAGGGGGGTGTCAACTTTAGTTTCAGCATTTCTTGTGTTACTTTTAAATGAGCATTCCTCCTTGAGTTAAATGTTCTTTTCAAAATCTGCCTAGCAACAAGTGACAAGAAAAGGAAGTACAGAAATTCTATTTTGCTGCATCTGCTAGCTAGCTTAGCTAGGTTCGTGTCATTTCTTCGCTGAAGCTCTTTCATAGTCACTCAGCAGAAGAAAAATCCCATCATGTGCCGAAGAGTCACCAGAACGGAATTTAGGCTGAACTGAACCAGGAAATGGAGGACAGGAAGAGGAAGTGAAGAAAGAGATAAAAGTGGCACACCTGACACTAAACAGGTTGATTGAAGTATGAGCAACCTGTTCTAATAAAGTCAAACAAAACGGAAAATTATGATGACCGACACTATGCTCCAAGGCAATACTCATATTTATTTATGGTGGATGTCCCACAAGTCCTTGGATCTTGGATAAAGGATGTGTTTGGAGGAAATTCCTGCCTTTTCCCTGTGGACCTGCTTGTAGCGGCCAATTTGGAAGTGCTTCCACGCTAAAGCTAAGTGCTGATGATTCTTCCTATTTTTTGACACGTGTGACTATGCTATGCCAACACCAAGCTAGCTTGGACACACACTAGTTAACTTTTTCCCCTCATTAGCGGCCATCTTACACAGTCCACTCAGGAAATACCGGGTCCAAAATAAGCACTTGATCAAAAATTATGCTTTTTACAGACGTAATAGTGTTCAATTTTATGTTTTAAAAACTTAGTTAAAGGCAAATTGGCATTAATTTCTGCTATTCAACCAAGTTGACAAAGTATATTTACATTTTTGTACTTACTCCAGGGCAGTGAGTAAATTAATCATCAAAATGATATTTATTTGACCTATGTAACCAGGGAAAACATTACATCATGCATACCATATTTACAACTTATCCGTCATATCTTCAAATGCCGTTTACATTTAATACAGCGTTATCATTTAGCAGCAACGCTATAGATAGTTATGCAAGCTTGTTTCAAGCCAAACTGACATTCAGTGACCCTTTTTAACCACATGTACATAATATGCTGCATACCAGAGTGATGGTAAGTGACGCATGTATTTCATATTTAATACAGCGAATGCTCTTTGCAAAATGCTTGTGCACAACTGAACTTCTACAAGCCTCTCGGTCATCCTGTTTAACCAAGTGGACAAAATAACTGTATGCTACAAACCAGATTTACATTTGACAATCTGAGTACCACATGTTGCGATGTTACATTTATATTTAATAGAGGAAACTGAACCAAACTGATCCTCACTTACCCCATTTAACCTCTGGAAAACTACTCTGATAGGGCCTGCACACCCACCTCGACATGTCACGTCTACCAGTGACACGTAAAGTGGAGCCCAACACCTCCGTCCGGCCTGGCCCTCCTACTAATATGAAATTGAATGAACTTTCTCTAACGAGGCAGGAAATTAGTCTGAACACATGCTAAGAATAATGGAGCCGAGGTGCAACTCTGCGCCTCTGTATGACTTTTCCTGGGACGATAGAGCAAGCCACTAGGACCTCAGAAGAGAACAAGTCTGTTCCGGATTAGTGTAAAATTGGCTCTAATTCCCCCCGCTATGACAGTGAATGACACCGGCCCATTTGAAGCAGCACCGCGCCGGCATGGCTTTCATTATCTGCCTTGTTGATTTATTTATTTGGATGGCGCGAGCATCCTTCAAATAGCTGCTTCTTTGTTTCTACTTTGAACAGCGCAGGAGGTTTCAGTTTGTGTGCGAAGGTACAAAGGAGTTCGTGGTGATCAATTCATGCAGTGTGAGAGTGGCTGTGCAAAGATGGTAAACACAAAACAACACGCAGTGGAGAAGACGAGAGCTATTTAACATGCAACTAAGTGCGCAGGGGAAGACCGTGACTCAGAGCGAGAACGCGCTTGAAGAACGCTGGTGTTTCATGCTCCATGAGCTTGATCACATGATGTCAAAGCACCTCAAAGAGACTACTTTTTCAACTGAACAGACTTTTCCTCTCAGGGAACAGCAAAAGCAGGATTGCATGTGATCCGTCTCGGTTTTTTGATGGGGTTCAACATAGCCAGACAGTAAAATAAAGTGTGAAAATTTGCATTCACCATGGAGGAATGGCTTTTTTTCTTTAAAATTCAAAACCATAGTGAAGCGACTTATTTCGAGGTCAAGGGAAATTATTTTGTTTTGCACCGACTCCAAACAGAGTCAAACAAATCGGTTCGCCGCGCAGAAAGTGTTTACGAGCCGGAAGGCATCGACTCGCCGGCAACACGCGGCACGCTGCCGTTTATTTGACAATCCGCACATGTGATCTTGCGTTGCAATCATGTGGTTTGCAATAATAAACCAGAAATTACCTTGTTTGTTCTTTTTGGGTGTTGAGAGGCAACAAATAGGGCCCTATTTGTTACCGACACCTTGAAACATGTTATATACTGCTTACTGTAAGGAGCCGGCCTCTCAATATATACTTAAAAACATGCCTTAAGGCTTAGCTTATTCTTTAAACTAACCTGAATCTTTTCATGGAGTTGGTCATATTAGTAAATGTTCCCCTTTAAAACTTAAAAGAAGTATTTAGCATAAATCAAGCAAATTCTTTGAACATATGTACTCCACATTTGCAAATTAATATACGATTATTTTTTTCAGGGTCCTCTTCTCGATTTTTTAAATAGAGATCTGTATTGTTACTTGCTCTGACTCGATCAGATTTGTTATCCATAAATGTTTTGGTCTTACAGGTTAGGTTTACGCTGAAATAATGGCAGATGAATCACAAATTCATGACAGTTTATGTATCTGCTTCGGTTAATTGTGACCTTACGAGAGACTTTGACTTTGTAGTCTTTTAAGAATTCACAACGATAACATTTCAAAATTCTGCCCAACGAGTGGGTGTCAATATAAGTCATGTCAGATTACGACGATGATCAAAACCAACCTGTGGCTTTATCCCTTCAACTTCAACTCAAGTTTCATAAAACAATGATGTGGACTGCTCTTTTTAAGCAATATAGAAACGATATAAATAAACAAATGAAACATACACGTGTGTATAAAAAAAAAAAAATCTATCCTAATGACTGACCGAAAGGAAGCAGGTTGTTATTTTTTTTTTGGTTTGTTTTTCTTTTCCCCTAAATTGCAGCCCTTGTGATTCAAAAATTACATTCGACTAGATTACCATGTCAATTTGAATTTGATTAATCGTTCAGCCCTAAAGCGTATTCCAAGTCATTTTTTAGACTGACTTTTTAAGTAAAAAGCAGATATGAAGTCTTTGAGCGTACCCCAAGCCATTTCTTCTGGATCAGTATTTTTACAAAGCGGCGCCGTTCAACATAAAGCACGCATCCTCATATAGGGTGAGCTTCAAATGCCGAAGGGCCTTTTCAGCATACTCGAAGTCAAATTGTTTCAAATGATCTGAAATACATCTTTGTTCTACCAAAAGCATGTAGAGTGTATCTCCCCAGGTTTTTCAAGTTTCTGTAAGAATTAGCCAATTAGTGTACTTTAAAATTAATATCAGTATTTTACCAAAAGTTGTTGAAGTTGCAACAAAGTGGCTCAAATAAAAAGCATATATCTCCAAAGGTGGATTTTTTTTTTTTTTTTTTTAAAAAGCGCGCAGTATTTAGCATAACCCGAGCTAATCCTTTAAACTGACCACAATTTTTCAGGTTTACGTCAAATAAAAAGCAAATGTTGAGTTGTTGTTTTTTGGACCTTTTACCGTAGAGCAGAAG